AATAAACAACAAAATACAATACTTGAATCATATTTATTTACACCATTTAATAATGAAACTATTGATAATGAACTTAATAGTTGTTTATATTTAATACTTGAAAATACATTAACAACAACATTATCTTTATGTCAAATTGGAAATGAAAAATTAAGTGAAGAAATTTTTAATTTCTATTCACAACAACCATCGATTAAATCATTTGAGTATACACTTATTACATCTTTGCCAGCAGAAGAAATGAATTCAAAATTAAATTTAATTGAGAATTTATCTTCAATAACAACATCAGTTGATTTAGTTATAGTTAATAAAACTGAAACAAATACATATGATTGGGAAAAATTATTTTCTACATGTAAAACAAATGGTTTTCTTCTTGTTTCATCGGATGTTAACATACCAACAGATCAATTTCAAAATGCTAGTTTTATTCAAGTAGCACAAAGAAAAAATTATCAATTATGGAAAAAATTATTAAATGAAAATCTTAATGATACAGTTGTTTATTTAGATGAAAAAAATTTTCAATGGATTGAACAAATTAAAACATTATTAACAAATTCTTCAATACAACGTATTTGGCTTGTATCTAAGCAATTAGATAATGGTATTCTTGGATTTTTTAATTGTTTAAGACGTGAACCTGGTGGACAAGCACTTCGATGTATACAAATTCAAGATTCGGAAAATATTCTCAATGAAAATATATTAAAAACATTAAAGATTAAAGATTTAGCTGTTAATATCTATCGAAATGGTGTATGGGGATCATATGTTCATCAACATTTACAAACATCGAATGATTCAGCATGGATCGAAACTGATAATGCTCATGTTAATGTATTAAATCGTGGTGATTTATCATCACTTACATGGTTACAATCACCTATAATAACAAATGAAAATAAAGATAATCCTTATTTAGATACATGTACTGTACATTATGCATCACTTAATTTTCGAGATATTATGTTAGCTACTGGAAAATTAAGTCCAGAAGCAATACCTGGATATTTAAAAATGCAAGGTTGTTTATTAGGTCTTGAATTTGCTGGATTAGATTCAAAGGGTCAACGAGTTATGGGTCTTCTATCAGCTAAAGGTTTGGCTACAAAAGTTGCAATAGATAAACGTTATTCTTGGCATGTACCTGAGCATTGGACACTTGAACAAGCATCAACAATTCCAGTTGTTTATGCAACAGCTTATTATGCACTTGTTATACGTGGTCAAATAAAACGTGGTGAAAAAGTTCTTATTCATGCTGGTACAGGTGGTGTTGGTACAGCAGCTATATCAATTGCTTATAGTTATGATTGTGAAGTATTTACAACAGTTAGTTCAAATGAAAAACGTGAATATCTTAAAAAATTATTTCCACGTTTAAATGATGAACATATTTGTAATTCACGTGATACAACATTTGAACAACAAATACGATTTATTACAAAAGGTAAAGGTGTTGATATTGTACTTAATTCATTAGCTGAAGATAAACTTCAAGCATCCGTTCGTTTACTTGCCCAACATGGTCGATTTTTAGAAATTGGTAAATTTGATTTATCACAAAATAATCCATTAGGTATGAGTATCTTTCTTAAAAATACAACATTTCATGGAATTTTACTTGATTCATTATTTGAAAATGCAACTGATGATTGGTTACGTGTACATGAACTTGTTGAAAAAGGTATTGAAAATGGTGTTGTTCGTCCATTACAAAGCAATGTATTTAATGCAAATGAAATTGAACAAGCATTTCGTTTTATGTCACAAGGAAAACATATGGGAAAAGTTGTTATTAAAATTTATGATGAAACTAAACCATTAGTACGTGCTTTACGTAAAACATGGTTTTCACCGAATAAAACTTATATAATTACTGGTGGTCTTGGTGGTTTTGGTCTTGAATTAACTGAATGGCTTGTTGAACGTGGTGCACGAAATTTAATTCTTTGTTCTCGTAGTGGTATTCGTACAGGATATCAATTAAAAAAATTAACATATTTACAAACATTTTTTCAAGCAAATATATCAATATCAAAATTAAATATAACAAATGAAAAAGAATGTGAAGAATTAATTGCAAAACAATCTTTACCTATTGGTGGAATATTTCATTTAGCAGCTGTTTTACAAGATGGTTTATTTGAAAATTTAACCGCTGATCAATTTGAAGAAGTTATTGATATTAAATATAATGGAACAAAATATTTAGATAAATTTACACGACTACATTCACAAAAAACATTAGATTATTTTATTGTTTTTTCATCGATTAGTTGTGGACGTGGTAATGCTGGACAAACAAATTATGGTTATGCTAATTCAACTATGGAACGTATTTGTGAACAACGACAAAAAGATGGTTTACCAGCTTTAGCAATACAATGGGGAGCTATTGGCGATGTTGGTATGGTTATTGAAAATTTAGGTTCAAATGATACAGTTGTTGGAGGTACTTTACCACAACGAATGACATCATGTTTAGAAACGATAGATTATTTTCTTCAACAATCAACACATATTCCTGTTGTTTCATCGTATGTACTTGCTGAAAAATTACAAAAAACATCTGGATCATCAACAGCTTCAGCAAGTTTACTTGAAACAATTGCCAATATTCTTGGTATATCTGATGCAAGTACAATGTCATCGGATAGTACATTAGCTGATCTAGGTTTAGATTCATTGGGTAGTGTGGAAATCAAACAGTTACTTGAACAAAAATATGCTGTATCATTAGCTAATTCAAAAGAAATTCAACAATTAACTGTTAAACGTTTAAGAGAAATTGATTCAGGTTCATCATCTTCTACATCCGCAGCAGCAGCAACAATAAACAATACAGAAAGAAAACCATCAGTATCAGCATCATCAATCGACCTTAAACAATTATTACCAAAAGATTTATTAATTTTATTAAATGAAAAAATTCAATCAAATAAATATCAACATTTATTTCTAATTCATCCTATTGAAGGTCATGTACAAATGTTAAAAGATCTTGCACAACGTTTACCAATTACTGTATTTGGACTTCAATCTACAAGTGATGTACCTACTACATCGATTGAAGATATTGCTGCATATTATATCAAAGTAAATATATACATATAAATTCTTTTTTTTTTATTAATTATTTCTTTTTAGAAAATAATTGAAACACAACCAACTGGTCCATATTTAATTGGTGGATATTCATTTGGTGCTTGTATTGCTGTTGAAATTGCTTTACAACTTCCAACAATTGCACATCTTTTATTACTTGATGGTAGTCATTCATATGTTGCTACACATACAAAACAATATCGAGCAAAATTCAATGAACCAAATCATGCTGAAGCTGCAGTGGTATGTATATTTATATAATTTTTTTTTTTAATTAATATTTTTTTCTCTTTTCAGCTTTATGCTTTTCTACAACAATATATACCAAATTTAGATCAGAAAAAGGTTAGATTAAATAAATATAATAATAAATTTTTATTTGATTTGAAATTCTATTTTAGATTCTATTTGAATTAGCAAATCTTTCATCTTATAATGAACGTTTGCAATATGCTGCTCAACTTCTTGATCAAACAGTTCATATTGGTAAAGATAATATAATTTTAATTGCTAAACAATTTCACAATAAATTATTATTGGCGGAAAAATATATTCCATCAAAAAAAATACAATGTCAAACAACATTATTTCGTGTACAAACAGGTAGTGAATATAGTCAAACAATTGGAGATGATTATGGACTATCAACAGTATGTATTTGACTCACTTTTTTTCTTTCTATAACAAATTAAAAAATTTTAGGTATGTCAAAATCCACCACAAGTTCTAGTCATTCCAGGAGATCATCGAACATTTTTACAGGGTGAAAATGTGCAAGTTTTAGCTGATCAGATTAATACCGTTGTTTTATAACAGTTGATGAAGATCGTGCAATGATTTTTATTTATTTCGACGATGATGATAAACAAAAACACATGATAAATGTGTTGTTGTTGTTGTTTTTGTAGTATTTTAATTTTTTTTTTTCTCGTTTTTGTGTTGTTTTCTATCATTGGTTTTTCTCATTGTGATATATAACTTCATGATCATATGATCGTTTGAAAAGTACTTTCAACGAACAATAAAAACATGATGAAAAAATTTTTCTATTTGCATGATTTCACTACCTAGCAAAATTTTTCAATTAATTTCATGCACAAAAGTAAAAATACTGAATTTTTATTCTTAATCCATACAAGAGACTAAATAGTTTAACTGTCATAATTATTAAAATTCATTCGTCGAACAATAACAGTACATATATGATGTTACAACTAGTTGAAGGAGAACGATACTATCAGCTGTTTATTTTATTAACTATGACCATGACCGGCTAACGGTTACTCTCGCAGGACAAAGATTTAAATTAATGAGTAACAGAATCATTAGGCGTGTTCAGTACTCTTGATTACTGAGCTGCCGAACGACATCATTTTCACTCTTCGTTACTAGATGCTTTAAAACTTGTTACGTTGAAAAGTTTCATTCTCGAAATCATCATATTCAGAATGTCAAACTCTTTCCATTGGAACAGCAAAACATGAAGAAATTCTATAACGTTCGACTATGCTGCTACACTAATTCTTAAAATTAGTACTTTCAGAATAATCATCAATATTCATATATTTTTGTAGAAAACACAGTGATATATAGTGACATCTTCCACACTCAATTTCTATTCGTCATTAAGCTCCAAGAAACACATGAATGTCAAACAAGTAAATAATAAATAAATACCCAAATGATTGATTTTCAGCAAAAA